CTACCAACTGCCTACGAATACACAGGTCACAGGTTCAATTCTCGGGGTCTACACGGATACTGTACATGGGTAGGGTGAGGTCTAGGTATCGAACCCTGGGTACTGCATCCGCTACTGCTAAAAGGTGAAAACCGTTTCACAGGGCCTGGAGGGCCCTTTTTTAGGCTGAAACGACACAGGGCCTGGAAGGCCCTTATTTTCCATCTGGTTGGGCCCCACAGGCCCGTGTGGCAGTATGCCACAACACCAGTGTCGCTACGTATGCAGATGATGCCGCAGCCTCCATCTTGGCAACCAGAGGTGGGCACCGTGTGCCCACAGCCGCACCTACCTGGCCCACCTGACCCACAAGGTGAATGGGTTGGGCTTGGGTCTGCCTATGCATACTTGGGTGGGTGATGGGTGTGTGTAGGTACTGGGCATTTCTTGGTCATGGGTGGGTCAACTTTTGCGCTGGGTCACCCGTTGGGTGGGTGGCAGGTCGGTAAACCGCAGGCCTGGGTCACTCGACCCACAGACCCAGGACCACCTGAAAATATGCCCCTCCCCCCCACCTGTTGGCGCCTTCCACCTCCCTCCCTCGGAAAAAAAAACCTTCGGTCCGCCTGTACAGTGCGCCGGCCTGAGAGAAAAGAAAACGCCGGCCTCGGTATAGTCGCTCGCTGCCAAGCAGTAAACGAAGAACGTCAGGTCGTCAGGGCCAAAAGAAAACGCGGGCTCCACTGTGGCTCCAACAGTCCCACCCCTCTCACAATTTCTTCTTTAAAGAATAGGGAGCGGATACAGCAGCAGTAGGAGGCTAGATCCGTCCCCTCCGAACTTGGGAGTGCAGCCCTTACCGTTGCACAACAGAGGGACGCTGGTGGGCTGCACAAGGTAGCGCCGTCGCATCACTAGTGGAGTTTTCGTGGGGAGGGCTGCATCGGCACACACAGAGAGAGAGAGAGAGAGAGAGAGAGAGAGAGAGAGAGAGAGAGAGAGAGAGAGAGAGATTGATGGGAGGCGACAAGGCTACAGCGACTACAATGAACAAGAGAGAGAGAGAGAGAGAGAGAGAGAGAGAGAGAGAGAGAGAGAGAGA